AGGTGTGAACACGGCATAAATGTGTTTGAAAATTTTGCTACAAAATATTATTATTATTTGGTAGAGAGATAGTTAAGAGAAGCACGTGTGCAAAAAGGCAAAAATAAATAGATATGGGATGAAAATTAAAACATTGGCTATGAAAAATCATTGTGGGCTCCAAATACATCATATTCTTTATAAATGCTATTTTCACCAATTTTTATAAATGCAATATTATTGTATTTAATTATGAGCACCTCCCGCCCAATTGATATAATTGAATTTACTGCTTTTTTCAGAAACTCACGAGCATTCTCACCTTCCACTAATCCACCTTTCTTCTCTTTTCAAAATAATGTCTCTTTTTTTTAATAAAATTTTCTTCCTAGTAATATTTTTATCCTAATACTTAATTTCCACAATTTTATATAAATTCGCTAAAACGACTTCAAGAACATTGTCCCCGAACTCCAAACGCCGAGAAAATTCATGTTCTTGCCCCTTAAACTACGATTATCGATCAAGTCGCACATTATACAGTTTTAACCGTAATGAAACTTGATTTAATTATATACAGTGACCAATAACTCGACCATAATTACAAAATGACTTAAAAACACGCACATTCAATCAAATTCGAACCCCCTACTTCTCCCACACAACATTAAAAATTAAAAAAAAAAAAAAGAAAAAGAAAAAAAAAAGAGATAATATTAATATAGGCTAAAGCCTAATTAATGTATATATTAAAGGTGTGAGATATGAATTAAATACTATACGTATACATTCATACATACATACATATGATACACACCAATCAGCAAATGCAAATATCTGCCGGTAGCTGCTCACGGGCCTATTTAAAGTAACATACATTCATCTCCTTCTCCTCATCAAATAATTTATATAAACCCCTCTTCAAATATTCTTACATTCATTTAGAAATAGAAAAAAAAAAAAAGTAAACTCATCATATATCAAATGTCAACCCCTATTATAATTTGGTTCCATTTTATTCTACTAATCTTGTCACCCATGCAGAAAGCAATGGGGAGGCACTATCCGATACTACCGAGTGCGCCTTCTACTGCACTTCCATCGGTTTCGAAAACCGGAGATTTCGCTACGTTGAAACCATCTGATTCGGATCACAAGAAAAGAGTTTTTCGACAGAGGGATATCAAGAACTGCATGCCGAAAGGGTCCCGCCGCTCGTCTGCGCCTAGTCGGTACGTGAACTATCATGCGCTCGGTTCGTTGAGGTGCTCTACCGGCAGACAACCTTAGCCATTTTTTTTTGTTTTTGATTCGTTAAGGTTTATCTATGTATATGCTTTATTTAGTTATGGTGTCCGATCGAGGGCGGTTTTGGAAGAAGAGTGAGATGAGTTATTTATGTATTCGTATTTCTATATATGGTTTTCGCCTAGAAAACTATTTAACTACCGAGTAATTTTTTTTTCTCGACGCACAATATAATTTGCTCGATTGAGTACATATTTTTATAATTTTGTTATGTCTTGCTACAATTAGATATTATTGTGAGATTAAGTTTATTTATGAGTTTCAACCAAAATGTTAGGGTAGTTACATTTTAATTTATGTCATCGTATGATTAACTCATGTTCGAATCGTCTTAAATACAGTTCACTTACGGTAAATATTCATTTTGAAACAAAAATATTTATGCATTTGACGACACAATTGTCAATATTTTATTTTTAGAAAAAACAATTACCAATTTATATTCGACAACATATATACGAACTTGCAGTGTCCAAATCAAAATGCTGTTAATTACTCCACCTATATTATAACATTTTAACAACCTGCAGAAAGTCACAGATTAATTGAGGGTCACCCAGTTTTACATTCACAACAAATGTACAGCTGAAGAAGTTGCCAACTGCATTTACTATCAAGAGTTCCACTCTTAAATAAACCATTTCTTTCGGGCAAATTTAATTTTAACCACTATACAACTTGGCGAATATAAATCGAAAACACAAGTAGAAATTTCAAATCTCCCAAATTCATCGAGAAATCACCGTGGTATACGAAATACTCTACTTCATCCTGTCATTTTATTTGCTGCTTTGGCAATAATTCTTTAGCAAGGTATTACAAAAACAGAGTGACTTGTTGCTGTTTTGAAAATAATTCAAGTGATAATTGCATTTAAAAATTTCACGTGTAAAACACCACCTGGCAGACTGTATATATGTGTGTCTGTGTGCATATATATATATATATATATATATATATATATATATATATATATATATATATATATATATATATGTGTGTGTGTGTCCAGCCCGTGAACAAAGAGAGAAACATGAAAAGACAAGAAAACATTAAAAAGTGTCACAGTTTAAGGATGCCAACAAAAGAGATTATAAGTTTATCCAGCAAATCCCAAGATGTCTAAAATAAATATTTTAACATTAATTAAGAAATATAAAAAAAACCAAGAGCATAAATAATCCAGCCATTTCTGGAGACTAGTTAATTAGTGCATAAACTGAAACAGGGGGAGGTGGTTCAAAAGTAATAAAATAAAAGCCACCTCAAACATCTAACTATACAAATCATCTTCATCAGCAGCTCCTCCGGCAGAGGCTGCAAACGGGTCGGATCCAGTTGTAGCTCCGCCTGCTGACTCAGCAAAACGGAACTCAGTTCCAAACCCTCGTGACTGCTGCAATGTCTGAGCAAAGGCCTGGTATTTGCGTATGTCTGCGTCGCTCACACTTCTACGTGCGTATTTCATTGACTCCTCGAAATGTGCTGGCTTTATTTCCGAAAACTCGTCTTCAAGGTCTTCATCCATGGAGTCGGGGTTATCCTTCCTTTTCCTCTCCTTTTCTATGTCCTGAAAATAAGCAGAGTTGAGAATTATAATTATTGTTATTATTATTAATTCCCCTCAGATCCTATAATCTATCAGTAAAAACAAATATAGCATCAAGCAAAATAACCGGTTTGAGTCTCCTAGGAATAGAGATATAAAATTCAATCAATTTCAACTAAATCTTGTTTTTGCTCAATACTGCCATTAGTACTGAGATCTTGAAGAAAGTTGAAGGCAGTTAAAATTCCCAGTATCTATACAGTGTGCAGTTATATTGTGATCACTTGACATGTTCATCGTGTATTATATTGGTTTCTTTTAATCTTTAGAAGAGGAGAAGGTGAACAAAAGAACTAAATGCTACAAATAATCAAGGAGATACCCATTCTTGTTTTACGTCACCAATCAGATCATTTGTCAAATTTAATAAACATATAGAAGTATGAAGGAGAAGAATGAATAAGGTAGAATAAGGTAGAGAAAAAGGACGTACTTTCTCAATGTTCTCTCGAATAGCATATTTGCAAGCCCTCTGACAAATTTCCGTGATATCTGCTCCACTGAATCCTTGAGTATACTTAGCAAGTGCTCGCAGATCAATATCTCTGGAAAGTGGTGATTTACGGAGGCAGGCTTTGAAGATCTGGTGGCGTGAGTCTTCATCAGGCAGTGGAATATATATCAACTGATCGAGACGACCTGGACGTAAAAGTGCCGGATCGATAATATCAGGTCTGTTAGTAGCTCCGATTATGAAAACAGTCTTTTTGGCATTCATTCCATCCATTTCAGTCAGAAGTTGATTCAGAACTCTGTCGGCGGCACCACCAGCATCTCCGACACTGCTTCCTCTCTGTATTTATAAGGTGGTGTTATAGCCTCAATCAAACATTTCAATTGTACTCAAAACAGAAAAAAATAGTTAAGAAAAAAATTAACTTGATCGAACCTGTGTTGCGATAGAGTCGAGCTCATCAAAGAAGAGAACACAGGGAGCAGACTGTCTAGCCTTGTCGAATATTTCACGAACATTTGCTTCACTCTCTCCAAACCACATAGTGAGCAACTCGGGTCCTTTGATACTGATGAAGTTGGCTTGACATTCATTTGCAATTGCTTTGGCGAGTAGGGTTTTACCACATCCAGGTGGACCGTAGAAGAGAACACCCTTTGAAGGTGACATGCCAAATTTCTCAAACTTCTCTGGATGTTCCACAGGGTATTGAACAGTCTACAATACAATAAAGAAATAGTTAACAATCGCGTTTTAACAAAACTACCACAAGGAATCAAGTAGGTCGAAGAATCCTCAAGAATTTGTTTTACCTCTTGAAGTTCTCTCTTGACATTTTCCAGCCCTCCAATATCTTCCCAGGAGACATTTGGCACTTCAACAACCTGTTCGTCGATAATCAGAATATGATTAAACAAGTTATTGCAAACAGATTAATGTAGCATTACAGCCAAGAAGTTCACTTACCGTCTCCCTCAAAGCAGAAGGATTGCTTGTTCCAAGAGCAGTGTGGAAATGCTCGTTGCTAACAGCCATGGAGTTTAGTATCTCAGCATCAATGGTATCGTCTTCCAAATCAATAACATCCATTTTCTCTCTGATGCACTGAAGAGCAGCTTCAGTGCAGAGAGCTGCCAGGTCAGCACCGACATATCCATGTGTGTCTTTCGATATTCTTTCCAAATCAACCTGCAACACAATAGAAATTTCGTTAATAAAGAATTTAAAGGAAATTGTATTCGTTGTTGCAAATTCCCAAGAGAATGTGCAAGACTTACATCCTCAGAGAGTTTCATGTTCTTGGTATGAATACGTAGAACCTCAAGGCGCCCAACTTCATCAGGAACACCAATGTCTATTTCTCTATCGAACCTACCAAACCTTCTAAGAGCTGGGTCAATGCTGTTGGGCCGATTAGTCGCCCCCATAACAATGACGTGTGCACGAGATTTCAAACCATCCATGAGGGTCAACAGCTGCGAAACAATCCTCCTTTCAACTTCACCGTGTGTCTTCTCTCTCTTGGGTGCTATTGAATCAATTTCGTCGATAAAAATAATCGAAGGGGCATTCTTCTCAGCTTCCTCAAACGCTTTCCTCAAATTGCTCTCACTCTCTCCGGCCAATTTGGACATAATTTCAGGCCCGTTGATCAGAAAGAAGAAAGCACCCGTTTCGTTAGCAACAGCTCTTGCAATCAAGGTTTTTCCAGAACCTGGAGGACCGTAGAGTAAAATTCCTTTGGGCGGTTTCACACCGATCGATTTGAAAAGCTGAGGATGCCTTAGAGGCAATTCGACCAGTTCACGAATCTGAGCCATCTGTCTTCTAACACCTCCCACATCATCGTAACCAACCTCGTCCAGCCTGTCTTCATCTTCTCTCCTCACTGGTTCCCCTTCGCAGAAAATCTCAGTGTCGGGGGCGACAACACAATACTCACCAGGGTCAGTTTCAATGACTTTAAATTCGACGCTCCTCATTCCTCCTCTCACAAGAAAATGGTCACCCTTCCTCAGTGGGCGATATGCTTCTAGAAAGTAAGCTGCAGAGATAATTCAACGAAAAAAGAGTTAAAATATTAGCCATGTGTTTGAACTTTGAACCGTTATGTAGAGCGAGGTGTGAAAGAAAGTGAAACATGTTTTAAGAGCTTACGTTTTAGGTATACATCGAAAAGATCCCCAGTGAGACCTTCGATTGTGTCATCCAAGGGCAATATGTGGACACGTTTTCCGTATTTCACGTCTGGGCACTGATGCACAGATACAACATCGCCAAGACGAACCCTCAAATTAGTCCTCACAACCTTGTTCATACGAATCTTCGCCTCTTCACAAGTTTCATCAGCAAGGGCAATGCACACTGTGTCCTTTCTCTTCTTACCCTGAAACCCATCAAGACAGAGATGCTCAGAGATCGAGTCCATCAAAATTAAATCATTTTAATTTGTGAATATTCAAAACACCATCAAGTATTCGGTATTTGAATGAACCAATAATTAATAAACTAATTAAACAAATAACAATATAAGCTGCCCCTCCAATTTGTTCCTAGAACAAACTCGGATTTACAGAGTACTTCAGCCACAAATCAGTAAGCAAGTACAGCAACTATTATCCAACCTATTTATTAATACAGTTTCACCATTAAAAAAATCTCCAAGAAAAAAACAAACCCTAACCCCTTCTCCACATAATTGAACGAAAAAAAAAAGACAAATTCCCCAAATTAAAAAGGTAAAACAACTAAAAAGAAAAAGTAAAAAACCTTAATCAAAATAGTGTCACCACGGAAAAGCTGGAGCTTCTCCATAGTGGCCGGATGGATGGCGACGACTGAGTTGTCATCGTTGACAGCCTCATCAACAACCAATCGGTTCGCAGCCTTCTTCCTCTCCAAGATCGCCGTCGAGAAGTCCTTCTTCCCTCCTTTCCTGTTCAAAATCAACAAAAAAAACAATCAGATTTCCGGCGATTAATTCCCCCAAAATTACGCGATTACAAAAAAAAAAACAACGATTCCGTCGGCCGAAAGTAGAATTAAACAAGGCTGTACTTACGGATCAGATGATTCCGGTTGGTTGCTCATGTTGTCGGTGATCTGAGAGAATCGAAGGTCGGGGAATAAATACTATGATGTTTTTTTTGGGGTTTGGGAGAAAAAAGATGAAGAAATAGTGATAAAAGGGGCAGAAGGTAGTAGATATATATCAGACGAGAGAGGGTTTGGTGTGTATGTATATTTGACGGTAAACGTGTATATATATATACGGATTTTAACCACCAAAAACTTTCCGTCTAACTAATTAGATTACAAGTATATCTACTAGAATCCTACTAGTATTAGTATTAGGTAAAAATTCCACTTTTTGACTTGTTAAGTTAACAAGTGGAATCTCTAAGATAAATAAAATTAAATTAAAATTAAAAAAAAAAAAAAATATATATATATATATATATATATATATATATATATATATATATGTGGTTATTTTTAAATATGAAGATGTATTATAAGTTAATTGTTATGAACTCCCTCCTCACAAGTAAATTAACACACATATACAGACAAAAGAGTAGGTAAAGATAGTGTAATATTGATAGAAAAATTAGGGTTTTCCTCAATACACAACGGATAATAGAGAACTCCAGCTACACTACTTAACCTAAACTAGAATTAATCTGAAAAAGCTGAAAATAAGCAAGAGATGTCCCTCCTGTTATAAGAAGGAAAAGGGGCACCACTGAATAGTCAGACTTCACAGCAAGCAATTCGCATGAGTTCCGCACAAGTCATCATGAAACGGCGGCGTTTTAAATAAAGGCAATTAAAAGGAAAAAACGTGTTTTAAAAGAAATGACAATAACGATTCTTCAAGTGGGACGACGTCGTATGCGGGAGTTTTCAAAAGGCCGTTAAGTTCGTTACACTACCCCTCCCTTCACGAAGCCATGTCTCATGGCTTAAAAGCTGGAAATTTAGACTCCATATCTGCAGCAACTTCCCATGTGGCTTCTTCCTTAGGCAGGTGAGCCCACTGCACCAACCATTGAACCTGCGCGGCGTTGTTATGCTTCACCATTCTCCTCTCAAGTACCGCTACTGGAATGAGTATGATTTGATTCTGCTCGTCTAATGGGGGAAGAGTATCAACCACTCTACTCACATTTCCCACGTGCTTTTTCAACTGAGATACGTGAAAAACCGGGTGAACTTTGGCTTCTTGAGGCAACTGTAACTCATAAGCCACCAATCCAATCCTTTTGATGACTTTAAAAGGCCCACAGTACTTAGGAGTTAGCTTCCATATTTCACTCTTTCTCAAGCTTAGTTGTTTATAGGGTTTAAGTTTCAAATACACCCAATCCCCTTCCTCGAATTCCCTCTCACTCCTATTGCGATCTGCATAGTATTTCATCCTTGATTGGGCCTCTCCTAGCATCTCTTTCAACCTCTGAGAGATGGCCTGATGGTCTTTGACCCAAGCTTCCACACCACCTGTTCTTTGCAACAAATGTGGTCCATAACCTATTTGAGGGGGGCTGTACCCATACAATGCTTCAAAGGGGGTCATCTGTATGGTGGAGTGATGTGAGGTATTGTACCACCACTCTGCCAATGGCACCCATGTGCTCCATCTCTTCGGCATTTGCCCACACATGCAACGTAGGTATGATTCCAAGCACTGGTTGACCCTTTCAGTCTGCCCATCTGTTTGAGGGTGGTGAGCAGTGCTGAGCTGGTGCTGCACCCCTAGAGCTAACATCAGTTCCTTCCAGAATTGGCTAGTGAAGAGGGTGTCTCGATCAGAAATGATGTAGCTAGGAAGCCCATGCAGCCTATACACTTCCTCCACAAACACTTGAGCAAGTTGTGAGGCACTCAAGGGGCTACTAAGTGCTATAAAATGACCATATTTGGTGAATCTGTCAATCACCACCCATATAGTCTCCTTTCCTTGAGACTTAGGCAATTTGACAATAAAGTCCATAGTAATGCTTGACCAGGCCTGCTCAGCTACTGGCAATGGTTGAAGTAGACCTGGCAACTTAACATTCTCATGTTTGCTAAGTTGGCATATAGCACACTGTCTTACCCATTCCTTCACTTGATTTCTCAATCCAGGCCATAGGAAAACTAGTTGGATCCTGTGGTATGTGTTTTGGATCCCAGAATGTCCCCCCAACTGGGATCCATGCATGTGTTCAACTAGCCTTTGCCTGATTCCTCCAGCCCCTCCCACATAGACCCTTCCTTTGTATTTGATGATTCCATCACAATACTGATAGAAATCCACATCCATTGGTCTTAGTGTGCAGTTGCCAATGATCTCTTTAGCTTCTTCATCTCCCTCATAGCTCTGGATCACTTCTTGGATCCACATAGGTTGCATGATAGTGATCTGAGCTAGCTCCCCAACCTCTTCTCTCCTTGACAGTGCATCTGCTGCACTGTTCTCAGTTCCCTTTTTATATTCAATAGTGTAGTTGAACCCTAGTAACTTGGCCAAATACTTGTGTTGCAGTGGTGTGGACAACTTTTGTTCCAGTAAGTACTTCAAACTTTTCTGATCAGTCCTTATCACAAATGTCCCACAAATTAGGTAGGCCTTCCACTTCTGTACTGCAAGAAGGATAGCCAGAAACTCCTTCTCATAAATGGAGAGCCCTAAGTTCTTTGGCCCTAAAGCTTTGCTCAGAAAAGCTATGGGGTGTGATTGATGCATCAATACTGCTCCAATCCCATAATATGATGCATCAGTCTCCACAATGAATTTTTCTTGAAAATTTGGTAGTTGTAAGACTGGAGTAGTGGTCATTGTTGTTTTAAGTTTCTCAAAAGCCTTCTGAGCTTCTTCATTCCATGCAAACTTCCCTTTCTTCAACTGCTGAGTCAGAGGCTTTGCTATCTCTCCATACCCTGGCAGAAACTTTCTATAGTAGTCAGTCAGTCCAAGGAATCCCCTTAGTGCCTTAACTGTTTTGGGTGCTGGCCAGTCTACCACACTTTGGATCTTCCCAGGGTCTACTTCCACTCCCTCTTGGCTAATCACATGCCCTAGATATTCCACCTTGGGCTGCCCAAAGCTGCACTTAGATTTTTTTGCAAACAGTTTGTGGTGTCTTAGCAACTCCAGTGCCTTGCTCAGATGAGTAATGTGTAACTCTTCACTCTTACTATAAATGAGTATGTCATCAAAAAATACTAGCACAAACTCCCTCAAATACTCTCTGAACACATCATTCATTATTGCTTGGAAGGTAGCTGGTGCATTGGTTAATCCAAAAGGCATCACTTTAAATTCATAGTGTCCAGAAGAGGTTACAAATGCAGTCTTCTCAATGTCCTCATCTCTCATGCTTATTTGGTGATATCCAGCCCTTAGATCCACTTTTGAGAAAACCTTGGCACCCCTTAACTCATCTAGAAGGTCATCAATCAAGGGTATTGGATATCCATCTGTAATGGTCATTGCATTTAACCTTCTGTAGTCAACACAGAACCTCCAAGTACCATCCTTCTTTTTGACCAGTAAGACAGGTGAAGCAAAGGGGCTGCAACTGTCTTGTATAATCCCAGTGTTGTGCATTTCTTTGATCATTTCCTCAATCTCTTTCCTTGGCATATAGGGATATCTATATGGCTGTGATTTGAAAGGTTGAGCATCTTCCTTGAGAGTGATAGCATGTTCAGTCTTCCTACTTGGTGGTAGTTCAGTGGGGTTCTTAAAGACATCCTTGAACTGATCAAGTACCTCTTCTACTTCTCTTGATACCAGCTCTTCATGACTCGGATTTCCCTTGGCAGACAACATGAATAAACAGCCCATATTAATGCTTCCACTATCTAGGATGTCTTGCATCTCCTCTTCATTGATCATAAAGAACTGTGGGTCACCACTAACCCCTTTGAGAACAATCTCCTTCCCTCCTTGTCTCAAAGTGATACAGTTCTGATTGTGGTCAAAGACCACCGGCCCAAATTTTCTCATAAAGTCTACCCCCAACACCACATCACATCCCCCCAGTTCTAACAGTGTTAGGCTCATGAGGAAATGGTAACTCCCCATTTCCCACTGGAAGTTAGGGCACTTAGAATCACAAAAGACTTGTTGTTTCCCTGCTACAGTCACCCTCATCTTCTTTGTGTATATTTGGTCACAGTTCAATCTATGAGCAGACTGTGGATCAAGGAAGCTGTGGGAAGCTCCAGTGTCAATAAGTATGGTTATAGACTTCCCCTTGACTTTACCAATAACCTTGAGTGTAGTATGAGAGATCTGCCCCACCATAGCACTGAATGATATTTGCATGATCTCTTCTACATCCTCTTCTACTGCCTCTTCTTCCTCTCCTTCCTCTACCTCCTCTGCTGCTGATGGAATACACTCAATATTAAAAAGTCTCTTGCATCTATGCCCTGGTGTATACTTCTCTTCACAGTTATAGCATAATCCCTTTTTTCTCCTCTCCTCCATCTCAGGCCTGGTAAGTCTTCTGGTTTCAGGGGTTTTCTTCTCAGGGTATTGTATCCTTAGTGGCTGATCTTGACCCCCTATTTTGTGGTTCCTTATAGCTTGGTTACTGGCTCTCACTGAATTCTTGATTTCTGTCTTCAACTGATCTACACATCCCTCTTGTAATTTGGCTTGTTGAATGGCACTGGCTAGGGCAACTGGCCTCATCATCTTTACCATATTCTTCACTTCCCCTTTGAGTCCCTCCACAAAGCACTCTACATAATATCCTTCAGGCAGGTTAGGGTATTTCCTTGATACAAACACCTTAAGGTGCTCAAACTTCAACCTGTAGTCCTCTACAGTGGAAGTTTGGTGCAACCTGTTGAAGTCAGCTAGCAAACTCACCCCCTCTTCCTCCATGAACCTCTCCAAAATCATATTTGAGAAAACCTCCCACTCCACTCTCTCCATTCTCTCAATGTAATCAGAGAACCAATCTTCAGCCTTCCCTTCCAAATAAACAGATGCCAATTTGACTTTCTCTTGCTCAGACATAGGGTTTAGCTCAAAGTACCTATGGCATCTTCTCAACCAAGTTCTGGGCAGATTCCCATCAAATCTGGGGAAATCTATCTTAATATCTCTCATTTCCAAATTTCTGAGGAAAGTGTTAGGGTTACCTTGCTCCTCATAGATCTGGCCTCTTCTTGGGGGTGAGGTCTCTGGATTCATGTGAGGTTGGTCTGAGGTGTTGCCTACTGAAGTTTTCCCTCTGTCTCCTCCTATAGATCTGATTATTTCTCCCATCATTCTGTTCATCTCATCCATCTTCTGGTTATTTTCGACTCTGCTTCTTGAGATTTCTTCCTGTAGGCTGGACAGCTCCCCTTGGATCTTATCATTAAAGGCTAGCTGTTCTTCCACAAAAATCTCAGCCTCGGTTCTGTTGTGTTCTCCACTAGATGAACGCATATGGCTTCTTGTCATCATCAATGGTTGCTTGTTTGGGCAGGAAAGCCTTGCTCTGGATACCAAATGTTATGAACTCCCTCCTCACAAGTAAATTAACACACATATACAGACAAAAGAGTAGGTAAAGATAGTGTAATATTGATAGAAAAATTAGGGTTTTCCTAAATACACAACGGATAATAGAGAACTCCAGCTACACTACTTAACCTAAACTAGAATTAATCTGAAAAAGCTTGAAAATAAAGCAAGAGATTGTCCCTCCTTTTATAGAAGGAAAAGGGGGCAGCAGCTGGATAGGTCAGGAGCTCACATGCATGCAATTCGCATGAGCTCCTGCACAGTCATCATAAAACGACGGCGTTTTAAATAAAAGCAATAAAAAGAAAAAACGTGTTTTAAAGAAATGACAATAACGATTCTTCAAGTGGGACGACGTCGTATGCGGGAGTTTTCAAAAGGCCGTTAAGTTCGTTACATTAATAAAAATAAATATTACGAGAAATAAATTACAATAAAAGAATTCCTCGACTATTTTAATATTGTAAACGAATTTCCCCAAAAAATAGGGGTGCTCGTCAACTTGACAAATCGGTTGAATCAAAATTTTGGCATCGAATTGAATATTGAAGTGAAGAAATTTTATTTGTTTTTATATTATTAGTATTAGTTTTTAAACTATAATGTATTGTTTGCTCGATTTTTAAAAGAAAAATACTTATAATTAGATTTATTTTAAATTTTATGAAGGATTTGGGTTGAATTTAAGAAAGGGCTCGACCCAATTGATCTGGGCCACTTACTCATAGATAGAGCTTCATCGTTGGGCCTGGATTGAAACAGGCCCACTTCAAGCAAAGCGTGTTAAAAACTAATGGTTTTTATTTAAATTCGATGTAAAATTTAACGTTAAAACTTCAATCCAATCGAACCGTGAATCGAAGGTTTTGATAGTGTTTGCAAAAACTTATTTAAAGCAGAAGTTAGTGACTGTGAAATAGAGGGTTGTTTGCAAAATATGCTGAAAAATCAACTTATTTTAATAAAAATAAAAGCGAAAGCTAATTTTTCAAAAACTTGAAAATAGATTATAAGCCGGAAAAAAGTTCATAGTATATCTCTAAAAGCTTTTGCAAACGAAGCTTAAAATGGCTCCTTGCACCAATCATTAGTAACCCCACATTAAAAATATTTAAAGGGAAAGTGCTTCTCATCATTTTGATTCTTGCTTTTATTTTTATTTTTTTGTAAAATTTGGATCGTATATTATGATTAAAATATATGAAAATTTTTATTTAATTGTAGAAATAAAAAAATCAAACAAACACGAAAATTTAAGTATCATAAAATAAGGAGCAAATTACGGTCACCCCCCTTGAGTTATGGTCAAATTATGAAATCCCTTTGTGTTTGGGTAATTATAGTCACCTCTCAACTATGTATTATCTTACTAAAAGATTCCTCAAGAAGCAAATTTAGGGATGTTAATTCAGTAAAACCGAACCCAAATTTCGTTACACCAACATTTTATACGAACCCAATATACGATTTGGTTCGGTAAATAACCAAATTACATAAATTTTATGTAAATTATTTAAAATGAGGGATACTATAATTATCCAAACAATAAGGTTTTTTTTCGTAATTTGGCTATAACCCAAGAATGGACGTAATTTGGCCTAAAACAAATTAAAAAAATTAAACCAAGATATAACATGTCAAGTGAACCCAAATACGAGGATTTATAAAAAAAAAAAAAGAAAAAAAAAAAAAAAACCAAATACGAGGAAGAAAACATAGTATTACTATTAATCTATTATGGTTGATCTTTATCAGTGTTAGAATAAAGTAAACAATTTGCTTTTTATAGCAAAAGATTAATGAACACTTGTGGAAAATAACGTTTGATTTAATCTAAAGCATTCAAAAGATTAATTAATCTTTTGTTTTCTTGGCAAATTTTTTCGAATTATTTAAAATCAAATGTAATAAATCTTATAATATTTAGCTGCTCCCAAAATCAAGTGTCACTCACACTTGTCTGTTTCTTGTCTCTTTTGCCTTTTCCTGTTTTGCTCCTCCATTATTACTATTAACCCAAACCTCAGATCCAGCTTTTTCTCTACTCTCTCTCTCTCTCTAGCTCATTTTCTCAACCCCACTTTCTCTCTCTAGGTTGATTGCATCTTCAAGTTCTTCCTCAACTTCAAGACAGCAGTTTTAAGGTACTTTCAGAACTACTCTTGCTATTCTTTTTTCTGCAATTAAAAATGTTGTCTTTAAGTTATAATTTACTTGGTGTTGGGTTGTGTTTGCCTGTGAAATTTATGGGAAAAAATTGCCCTGCATTTTGCTTAAGAACTTGTTTCTTTCGTGTAAGAAGTTTCTGGAATGAAGATTCTTGATTTATTAGGTCTTTAATACCCCTGTTTGTGATTAAATCTTTCATTTTGAACCATGTTTTCATTGAAGATCTTTTCTTTTAACACCCATGATGCAGTTAATTTCCAGCATTGAATGTGTGTTAATTCGACTTCGTAAAACGTAATCAAGATTGTAACACAATGGAAGAAATACAATCTCAATCGGATCACTATCGATCTTCGTCATCTTCGGCAAGTAGCCCAGCAAGTAGGGTCCCCTCCAGCAACTTCTTCTACTTGCGAAAACCGGGTGCATTCAGACAACCTATTTCGTTCGAGGATTCGCCCGATTGGGAAGATAATACGGACATCGATGTCAGAGTTGACCAAGGAAGAGCCGACTCCATTAACACCGCCACGACTCCGCCTTCACCTTCACTCTCGAAGCTCAACAGTGGGTCCCTCCCTTCGCCCCCTTTGCCCGAGGGTGCAGTTCTCGCAAGAAAAATCGCGGGCGCTTCATTGGTTTGGAAAGATTTGACCGTCACTATAAAGGGTAAAAGAAGATATTCGGATAAGGTTGTCAAGAGTTCGAATGGATATGCATTGCCTGGATCGATGACTGTGATTATGGGCCCCGCCAAATCGGGGAAGTCAACTCTCTTACGGGCTCTCGCTGGTTCGTCTCTTTTTAGTACAAGTACATATGATATGGATATGCCTCTATGAATAATCTTGTGTTCTGATTTTTTTTATTCTTTCCGAATTTAGGAAGATTGCCTGATACAGCTAGGGTTTACGGGGAGGTGTTTGTTAACGGCGTGAAAGCGCGTATGCCTTACGGATCCTATGTAAGTTCTTTGTAATGACGACACCTGTCCTTAGACTTCAATTTTATCGCAAACCCTTTTCTTCTGTTTGATATGTATTACATACACGAAGGTTTGATCGAATTATGTTGCGATTTTGAAATTAGGGATTCGTGGAAAGAGAAACCACATTTATCGGATCACTAACCGTGCGCGAGTACCTTTACTACTCAGCATTGCTTCAACTTCCGGGATTCTTTACCCATAAAAGAAGTGCGGTCGAAGATGCCATTATAGCAATGTCGTTGGGCGATTACGCAAATAAACTTATAGGCGGACATTGTTATATGAAAGGTCTTCGTAGCGGCGAAAAAAGACGAGTCACAATTGCAAGGGAGCTTGTAATGAGACCCCATATCTTGTTTATCGACGAGCCTCTTTATCACCTTGATAGGTTCTTTTTTCCCTAAAAAAAGAATTAATTTTTTTTGTGTTTTTTTCTATTTCGAATTAGTAACGAGTTTATTTTATTGTTTCGTGTTTAGTGTATCTACACTCTTAATGATGGTGACGCTGAAGAAGCTTGCGAGTACGGGTTGTACTTTAATATTCACGATTTATCAGAGTAGTACCGAAGTTTTTGGCCTATTCGATCGGATTTGTCTTCTTTCAAATGGGAACACGTTGTTTTTCGGAGAAACACTCGCTTGTTTGCAGGTAATTAAATTTTTAATTATTTTTCTATTTGAGCTTTCTTGATTGAAAAATACTTTAATTTCTTTTTTCATGTTTTTCTGTAGCATTTCTCGAATGCTGGATTTCCATGTCCGATCATGCAAAGCCCTTCCGATCACTTTCTAAGAGCGATAAATACAGATTTCGATAGGATCATTGCCATGTGCAAAAACTGGCAGGTATTTTTGGTTTTTCACTACACTTGAAAATTGTCCTTTTCGGTTATTTCTGTAGCAAATTAAGGCTGATGTTTTCTTCGAAATAGCCAAAATAAAATCTAACAATATTATTTAATAAAAATAACAGGATGACCATGGGGAACTTTCGTCGGTAAATATGGACACTGCTGTAGCAATACGCACACTCGAAGCAACATACAAATCATCTGCAGATGCTTCTGCGGTCGAGACTATGATTTCAAAGCTTACTGAAAAGGTACATTTTTATTATTAATATTTAATATTAATATTCTTGCTTGATTTAGTATTACTTACTAAATCGGGGTGTTTAATTACGGTTACAGCAAGGCCCGTTTCTTAAAAGCAAAGGCAAGGCGAACTGTTTGGCCAAAATAGCAATATTGACTTGGAGATCGTTGTTGATTATGTCGAGGGAGTGGAAATACTATTGGCTTCGTTTGATTCTTTACATGTTCTTGGCCATATGTATCGGTACCGTTTTCTCTGGTTTGGGGCATTCTTTATCTTCAGTTGGGGTAAGTTCTGTTTTATATTTATTATTTTTATTTCATATTTCATATTTTTATTTTTATTTAATTTTCGTGCTTTCGAATTTTGCAGACGAGAGTTGGAGCTATATTTTTATTTATATCATTTACTTCACTCCTGAGTATTGCTGGTGTCCCTGCACAGATGAAAGAAATCAAGGTAATCGAGATCTGTGTAAAGCATATTGTCATCAAACGAATTTTCATGCAAATATAAGTTTACCTCGATTTCACATTTGGTCCCCTTTATTCACAAAAAAAAAACAGATTTAGTCCTCAAATTTCAACAATCTAACACATTTGGTCCTTTCCGTCAATTTACCGTTAATCCGTCACTTAAGACAGCGATGGGGACATGCTTCATTCCGTTAGTACTAACAGAAAATTGACGGAAAGGACCAAAAGTGTTAAATATTGAAACATGAGGGACTAAATCTGTCCTTTTGTGAACAAGGAGGACCAAATGTGAAATCGAGGTAAACTTAAGGGACGAAAAGTGTATTTTTCCCATTTCATGTCATATGATGTGCAATTCATGCCTGGAAATATATTTTCGACTATCTTGTTTTTACCAATTAAAGAAAACGGGCTTTCCTGATTTCAATTTTTACTAATAATATAATGTAGTAAAATTACTATTCTAATTTTGCAGATATACACATGCGAAGAATCGAACGAGCATTCTGGAACATTCGTTTTTCTAATAGGGCAACTTCTATCAAGTATCCCGTTTTTGTTTCTCCTCTCGATTTCGTCAAGTTTGGTCTTCTATTTCCTCGTTGGCCTTCGAGACGATTTCAGCTTGTTGATGTATTTTGCGTTGAATTTCTTTACGTGCCTTCTCGTAAATGAAGGGGTGGTACTTCTTGTTTCTTCCGTTTGCCGAAATATCTTCTGGAGTATCTTAATCTTGGTAACTGTACATGTAAGTTCTTATTGTAATACTTTCGATTTTAAATAATTTTTCCATGTCTTTTAATTTCTTGTTTGAATTAGTTCCGGTTGATTTAATTGTCTAAATTTAATTTAATTAATTAATTAATTAATTATGTTTGTGTTTCAGATGGTGATGATGCTTTCGGCTGGGTATTTTAGGATTCGAAGTGCTTTGCCGAGACTCGTGTGGATGTATCCTATTTCATACGTTGCTTTCCATACGTATTCTATCCAGGCAAGTCGATTTTATTATTTTAGCTTTATTTATTTATTTATTTCAAAAATAATAATCTATAATTTCTACAAAATCCAATTTGAAACTCGAAACTATGTTAGGCATATACCTCTTTCTAA